TCTCGCAAATCCTCCCGTATTAGCACCAGCACTTCCCGGAATCCCTCTTAGGTTGTATTTGACAGTCACCAAAGAGACAATGGGAGCTATGCTAGCACAGGAAGTAGAAGGCAAAGAAAACGCAATCTACTATCTAAGCAAGAAGATGCTCAAATATGAAGCACGCTATACACCACTTGAGAAGTTTTCAGAGGGACCAACTGAGGCAGTAATGGCAACTTTTCAGAGGTGTGTGCTCGACGGTGCAAGATACGCATTTCTTAACTCTCTTATTTGTTTTAACTAATGCTAGTTTGCAGGTATCGGCGTTACAAGAATGATTTAGGATCGCAGAATGTTCTGAATCATTTTCCGTCCCTATCGATACTTTGACTTTTGTTTTCGAAACTTGCGTTTCTCCAAACTCAGTCAAAGTAGGGGCTTCCGTAGACACCCATTTGTGTCTCCCCAAAACCAAACCCATTGATGAGTACCTTTCACGTCGAATCATAATCGAATGAAGTGAAAGTGTGGAAAGTTTAGTGTTGCAGATAATTTTAATTTCTTTTCTCTTCTCTCTGTTTTTGAAAACCTATTTTAAGAAAACAGTCAATCCAGTTTGGTTGGTCCATGATATGGATCCAATAGTAGTGTAGTTGGATAGGGCTTGAAAAGATCTTTCCAACGATATATTATAAGCCCAATTCCGATAAATATTGAGGAAGTTATGGCCAAATTACTAAACTGGGTCTGGTTTGAGTCTTATATGCGACCCAATGATCTAGAGGAGGGCCTAATATAGATTTATCATTCCTAATGCAATTAGGAATAGTTTTTAGTCTTCTAGATTCTTCTAGAAGGTTCTTTTCAATCCTAATTCAATTAGCATTGATAAATTGACTTTTGTTGACTTTTTAGAGTTTTAATCAGAATCAAAGAACGTTTTTTGAGGAAAATACGATTTTATCCTCCTGTACGGCAATTTCTATCTGATTTTAAGAAAACGCGTGGATTTCTAAGTCAGCGCCAAACGCAGCTGTAGCGACTGACGCTACACTTGGCGCCTAATGCTAGCCTTAGCGTTTGGCGCTAACTTGGCTTTTTGCGTCAGAACTCTGTTTTTGATGTTTTATCTTTTTGGCTGATTTTCTCTATAAATAGTCTCATAAAAACACCGTTTTGATTCACCAACTCTCATCAAGATTCTCTTGATTACTCTCTCTCTCTCTCTCTCTCTCTCTTTTCTAAACTAGCTTTCTCTCAAATATAAAAATTCCGCATTCATTAGATCTAGATACACCTAGCCATATTCGAAGTTGTCTTCGCCCTAGACGTGAAAGGTTTAATTTCTAAGGGTTTGGTCCCGAATCTTTATTTCAATTATTTAATTTAATTGTTTTGTTTATTATTTTCCTTGAAGTTACTAACGCGTGTATTTTGTTATTAGAAAGAGGTACGAGGCATCCAAGTAAGTACTTTAATGGTTTTAATTAATATTATGATATAGAGATCATGCTTAGATTGTTATTTTGATTCCTAGTATCATGTCTAGGGTAACTTTAATAACAAGTATGATTAAAAGTATGATACCTTTTATGTTCTTCCTAATATTTATAATTGTTAGTATCATGTTAGGGTTAAAACTTTGATCTTTATTGTTTAGTGATATGCTAGGGTTTGTTATTAATCTTGTTAGTATCATGCCTAGGATCTTGCTATTATTATATTCCTTTAACATGATTATGCTTATGCTTATGATTATTATTATGATTATTGTTATTGTTATTATTATTATTATGTTGCTTGACATTTTTATTGTTATTGCTTGATCACACGTTTTATGCATGTTTAAAGGGAATTTTGTACTTGTAATCACGCTTATATAAGATAATTTAATAATCTTGTTTAGGGTTAATATGATTATAATTCAAGTGATCGCCAATAATAGTTTTATTTGTGCATTAAATTCAACCAACATAGATTAAACATGTTTAGGGTTAATCCTATTGATTGCATGTTAATCAGAAAGCGCACATGAATACGATCAGAATAAAGTAGAGGCCTATTATTAGGGCAGGTTCAATCTCTTTTAGGCTGGATTTGTACCTTCATCCCCGAACTACCAGTCATGGTTCAAGACCTATTGGAGTTGACGATCTCCTGGATCGTTAAGGGGTGTAACCTTCACCTCGTGGACGGTTTACAAGTTCCTAAAACTTGTTGGCGACTCTTTTGCTCTATCTTCTTTCCCTTTGGACGCCACCGTACTTAAGTGTATGATCACAGTGGGGTTCAAGCTAGGGATAATGCTTGAAATATTCCCTACAGTAATAAAACACTAGGAACGGGGATCAACAAGTAATCATGTCAATTGCAACAACGTGGAAGAGCATGCCAATCAAAGGTTGTGAGGACTAATGATAAGAGCAATCAATTAGAATCAAAGAGCTATCTCCTAATTGTTAAGCTAGGGTTCACTATGAATAACAAATCAAGAGAATCACAATCAAAACCAATCTATAATTGCAATCCCTAAGTCAATTGTTCGTGTCATTATCAATTACAATGCAATCTAGCATAATTCTCAAGGCCTAATCGAATTACACCATGAAAAATTACATTAATCACTTTAATCTCAACTATTAATCAACACAATCCCCAAGTTAATCACAAGTAATCAATTATACAAGTTTCACCCAATTCCTAGCCAACAACTACTCAAATATCATCATCTATCAACAATCAACTAAAGGAATCAAGAAACAAAAAAATATCAAAAACAATTACTCTAATCAAACATCAAACATCAAAACTAAATCAAACAATGAAATTAGACAAAGCAAATAAAGAGGAGAGAGAGTGAGAATTTTTCATTGATTGATTAAGAAGATCTTAAATACAATTGTCACCATTGAATCTTTAATCACTCAAACCACCATTGAAATCCCTCACTTTCTCTCTCTAAAACTACTCCTAAACTAACCTTAGATCTAGAGAGAGAAGCTCTCAACTAAGCTAAGAAAATGTGGTCTAAAAATTGATCCAAAATTGTTCTCTTAATTTTTACCCCAAAATGAGTATTTATACTAGAGAAATAAAACTAAGTAAAATAAGGCTAAAAAGGGAAAATATAGAAAATATAAGAAAGAAAAATAAATAGAAAAGAAAAGAAATAAAATGTAATCAAAATAAAAGGAAAAATAAATAAAAGAAGTCAAGACTTCTTTCTCGATTCTTTGGCTGCTCTTGTTTGGGAAATTATCCCCTACTTCACGCCATCAAACAAACATCAACCATCACCGTTCGATTGCCAAGATTAATCAAGATCAACGACTCAATTTGCACCCAGCTTGTGCACACGCATCAATGGGGTTGACCACCCTCATGATGAGCGCGCCGGTCTTCAATTGGAGTTTAATGTTTATGTTGCTGCTTTCGAATTGCTGATGTTGGAGGCTATAGGTGGTGAATTAGTTGAAGGCGCCAATTGCTGTTGGTGCTGCACTAAGAGGTGAGTTGTGGTGGCTGGTTGAATCGCTGCTACTTGGGTTTGTTTGCTGTTGCGGGATATTGGTGGTGATTGGAGGTGAATTGCGCGTTAATTGCGGGAGCAGGGGAAGTGCGTGAGTGAGAGTTGGCTGAAATAGGGCACGACGGCCGCGCTCGCAGTGCTGGAGCCCACGCCCGCGGGTTTGGGGCCGCGCCCGCGGTGAGCCCGCGGCCAGACCGCGGTGACTTCCTGGTCGGTTTTTGCTGTTTTGGTGAAGCAAAACCCGCGCTAGCGGCTTGTAGACCCGCGTCCGCGCGCCTACCTATGCTGCTGGGTTCGGGTGGCTGCTTTATGGGATAGACTTGTTGGCTTGATATCGTTGCAACACTTTATTGATTTTGAATCTAAGACCTCGAAACATCAAGCTTGAACATTGAAACTCCGAATATGACAATTTGGATCGTGTCTTGTCTCGAGCAATCACCTACACGGACAACTGAAAAAGGAGACAAATAAAATAAAATAAATAACATGGAAATAAATAAAGTAAAAATAAAAGAAATAAAACTAAATCTATGAATTAAGGACTAAAATCATGAAAAACTCATAAAAACTAATCAAAACTCAAAATGAGTTATTAAAATGGAAAAACAAGGAAAACTAAGAAAATTATATGAAAATATAGAAAGAAAATATAGAAAAAAGACCAAATCTTATTTTTTTTGAGCGCTATAAATGACGCTCATCACGCGACGACCCAACCATACCCTAACCCCTTAATACCCACCCTCTCCCTTCCCCACCACGAATAGCTCCCCTCCCTTGAGATGCGATGCTGTGCGTGAATGCTAGTGCGAGCGTTGCTAAGCTGCAATGATACTTGGTGTTGTGCGTGGCTGCTGTGATGTTTAGAAGCTAATTGGTGCGTTGGGAGGGGAGCTCGGGCGGCGGTAATGGTCGTGGGCGTAGGGTTAGGGGAAAGGGAAAGGGTGGGGCGACTGACGGTGGAGATGGTGAAGCCAGGTGCCGTTGTGGCCGCTCGCCGGGGCGAGGGATGGATGAGGCTACTGTTGGTGGTGGAGGTGTTTTTGTTTTTTGTTTTTTTTTTTTGGTTTTTGTTTTTACTTATTTTTAAATTAGTTTTTTTTATTACTCTTAGAAAATATTAGTTTTAAAATTTTTAGTTAAATGTTAATTAGTAATTAATTATCTTTTCTTAAAACAAAAAATAAAAAATATAATAGAAATTTATTTTTGACCAATCTGTTAGTGACATGTGTAAATTAAATCTACATAAAAAAAAAAATTACCTATTCAACAGGTTGAAGGTGATTTGGGATCATTAGAAATAAATTCACATAAAATTTCAGTTTATTAAAAAATAATGAAAAATTGAGACTATTTTAGGCGAATCGAACAAAGTTGGGATTATTCTTACTAATTTTTCCTAAGTTTTAACAATAGGTTTATAATTTTTTTGTTTAAAAAGAAAAAAGAAAAGCGACAAGTCGACAACCCAGTATATATACGTAAAGAGGAGGAAAACAAGGCAGTAGAACAAGAAGCCGGTAAAGCAGACAGCATAGACTGAGAAGAATGGAGAACCAGAGTGGTGAGAAGACTGAGGATGAACTCCGCAAAGAACTTGAAGCTCTTCAACGACAACAACGCGAGGTCTTTCTCTTTCTTCTCTTTCTCTCTCCTCTATTTTTCCATCTTCTTCAATTCAATCCTACTTTCTTCAACAGATTACTGAGCGTATTAGAGATCCAAGAGGACTTCGTCGTGGCGGATTCTCAGGCAATGCTCAAAGGAACAATCTTCCTAATCAACGTCCTTTCACTCGACCTGTATGTTCTTCAATCTTGATTTTTTTGGATTATGTTTTCTGCAATTATTTGTTGAATCAATTAAGGGATTATTTATTTATTTATTTATTTTGGTTGTTTTAGGGTGAAAGGTTTAATTCAAAGGACGAGCCTCCTCCGAAGCGGCGATTGAGTTCTGCAGTTGTTAAGGTTGGGTTCTTTTTTATGTTTTGTGGTGTCTTTTTTTAGTGTGCCCTAATTTTGTAGCATGTGAAACTTTAATTGGGTTTTACTGTGTGTTTGAATTATGCTGTTGCGGTGGTTCGATGGGTGGATTGTGATTAGTTGATGGGAAATTCAAAAATGGTAATTTGTATGAGTAACAAGCTGAAAATTCCCAACATGGAGATAATTAGCATGTGTTTTGGCATAACTTTCTAGATTAATACTCAATATAATGCTTAGCGTTGGTTAGTTGGGTTATATATATCATAACCATGTACAATTATATGCTGTGTAATGTCATACGGTCACTAGTTTGACTGGAATGTGGAATATGTGTTAGTTTTAATATTGGAAATGTTTGATGGGTGAGTTGTAGTACATAATATAACATTAGGGTTGTTTTTTGTTTGAAAAATGGTTGTTGTTTGAATTGTTGCTTGGGGAATGTTTGATGGCTGAAATTTGTTGAACTGAAGGTGGAAGATGGAGAGGTTGTTGAAGAAGAAATCGCAGTCCGTTACATGCAAAGTGAGGATCCTGTTCCTGGTGTTTCTGGTCCAATGGCAAAGAATGATCAAAGGTCTTCAGTTTCACAGCAAAATCGTCCATTTTCTGGAAAAATCGGCAATCAACAAGTGGATAATGTCAGTAAATTGCTTTTGTTTGTTTTGGAGTTGTTATATTGCTGAACAGTTTATGACATCTTACAATTTGCATAATAGGGGCTTGATCATCAAGTTAAGGAGGTTCCAAGAGTGTTGCCAAAAGATGAGGATCCAAGGTTGGTTAATAGGAATCGAAGGATGCTAGGTCAACTTTTGGGGACCCTGGAGGTATGGTATAATTCCTGGGGTGGGTGAGGAGGGTGTGTATGTGTGTAAGATATAATTCAAACTTTGCTGTGAAGACAATTTCCAAAGCTACAGCTTTATTATTGTTATTGAGTTACCTTGCTGCCTGCATTAGTAGCTGTTTTTGTTTGCACACTTCTTATGATGCCTTCTCTAAGACACTTCAGTTTTCTCTTTAATATTAAGTTACTTAAATCCACAGTCAACCATCAACCAATTAAACAAAAATCCTTTAATGATATAAATATGAGAACTATTAAGAAATCAAAGCACTTTTGAGTTGAAGACCTTGAAGTGATTATGTATTTATGTGAAGTGGAGAATGACCATATGATTCTTGATATTGTAATACATTATTTTAACATGGGTTGCTTACCCGGTCAAAAAGAATAAAAAATAAAATAAAAAATGTGTTGCTTACAGAAGTAAAAACCATATTAGAGGAATGCCTGTAGGATAATGATGATGTATCAAGATAATTAATTATATAATAAAGACCATGAAGATTTGAGGAACGAGTATACAACGAGGATAAGATAGGATAAAAGATATGAATATAGGTTGTATAAAATGTCTTCAGCATGGCTAGTCAAAGTTTAATTATACTACGTATAAGTGTATAACTTTCATGGTTTCCTATAGCACATGTACTCTTATAAAAAAGATGCAACCACTATAGTTTTGTTATTTTCTGCTCTTTTTTTCCTTTTATTAAATATAATCTATATTTGCTGAATTTATTTTCATTTTAAAACTTAATTTTCTAGACTTAACTTGCTTTTGCTAGACTAAGGGCCTGTTCTCTTCCGTTGAAATTCAGTTCAGCTCAGTTCAGTTCAGCTCTTAATTTACGTCTAATGATATTGCTAATGATATAAAGCCAAATTTCATTCTTTTAAACTCTTATTACAACGACGATGACGACGACGACGACGACGACAACAACAATAATAATAATAATAATAATAATAATAATAATAATATTAACAATAATAATAATAATAATAATAATAATAATAATAATAATAATAATAATAATAATAATCAATAAGTAATAAATAATAATAATAATCATCAATAAATAATAATAATAATAACAATAATAATTGAAATAATAATACTAATAATAATAATCAATAAATAATAATAATAATCATCAATAAATAATAATAATAATAACAATAATAATAATAATAAATAAATAAATAAATAATAATAATAATAATCAAAATTAATAATAATAATAATAATAATATTATTATTATTATTATTATTAATAATAATATGTACATTTGTATATACACATATGTATAGTAATAAATAATCAATAAATAATTAAAAATCACTAATCCGTAGTTAGAAATCACTAATTAATAAGTTCAGCTCAGCTGAGTTCAGTCAATCGGAACAGGCCCTAAGTTGTACTTACTCTGTGCTTGAATGCTTGCAATTCTTGAATGGACAAAAAGCAATGATGGAGAGAAATAGTGGTTTTGGCCATTACGCCAAGATTACCTAGGTGCTAAAGATGTGAGATAGATAGAGAGCGGGAGTTAGAGAGGTCTTAGGTGAAAGGGAAATTAGTTCTCAAAAACCTTCTATTCATACGGAAAAGAAGGGAAGAAGCATAAGAATTACCAACTATTTTACATTGCTTTTAATTTTTGATTTGAAGACCTAGTTAGTAACACCATTGATTGAATGAAGTGGTCTAAAAAGTCCCAAAATTGAAGCGAGAAAGCTAAAAAGAAAAGTGTCCACCAAAGCATAAATATAATCGTTGTTAAAGAGTGTCCACTAAAGATAAATATAATCATTGTTAAAGATTTCCATGATGGTCTTTCTTTGATGAGAGAGAGAGAGATCATTGTTAAAGATTTCCATGATGGTCTTTCTTTGAAGAGAGAGAGAGAGAGAGAGAGAGAGGGGGTTATTTTTGAAAAATTAGTATCTTTATGGTTTGTTTGTAATTTAAACTAGGGTTTTCTTACTTGGTACCCTTGAGTTTTTGAGTTTTCTACCTTGTACCCTCCTAAATTCAAATTTTTACAAGGTGACCTTGAGTTATTAGTTTTTTTTAACATTACACTTGAGTTTTTGGGTTTTTCTATATGGTACCCTTGAGTTGTAAAATAAATGACTAAAAATTAATTTGACTCAAACCAACAGTATCTAAACGACTTATTTAGCACCCTCAAAGACACAACTAGCATGTTTATTGCAAAAAAAGGGCTAACAACTTGAGTCCCCCTCTAAAACAAGCTCTTTTAAGTAGGAGCAAAAAAAGTTCTTATTTTCCATCTCAAACAATCATACAAAAGTTCCACTAAATAGCGAATAGTGAAGATGGTGTCGGTTTGAGTCAAATTAAATTATAGTCATTTATTTTACAACTCAAGGGTACCATGTAGAAAAATTCCAAAACTCAAGGGCACCTTGTAGAACTTTGGATTTAGAAGGGTACAATGTAGAAAACCTAATAACTCACAGATACCATTTAGAAAAACTCTTCAAAATATTTTACATGTGTAGGCTAGGTGGAATTTTTTTGAGTACGCTACTTGAAAATTGACTTTTGTGCTGCAATAAATAAATAAATAATAAAAAAAAAACTAATTGTTGCGAATGAAACAATATCCATGATATAAGAAGATTGAACCATTTTATGATTAAGAGTACCGTTTCCTATTTGATCCCTTTGAATTCTACTAATCTTACGGTTGATAATAAACATTAAAATGGACTTACCAATGAGAATAAAAATATTTGGTGTTTACCAATGAGTAAAGTACAAAGTAGGTACTTACCAATGAGAATTTTCCGTATACTTATCTCAATCAATCGAATCCTTAGTTCCACTTTAAAAATTTCAAGAGGATAGAGACCAAGTGTATATTTCAAATTCAAATACGATAATGATAAGTTATTAGTGAACGCTAATTAATTTTAATGCACTTTAAAATACAATATGCTGTATGCATGATGAAGCTTTTACTCTAGTAAACCGTTTAGTTTTAAGATGTATCTACGGATCTACCCATAGTTTTTGGTCTAGTTAAGTTTTGTATCTCAAAACCTCAAGGTTGTGCGAACAAAATTTACCATAGGCACTTTGTAGGCAGAGTTTACCCCTAATCTCAAGCAGCCTGACTTACATAGCCATTCTAGTCCAATAGAACGCCGTCTCATTACTAAAATATAAATTTAATATTGTAAAGATGCAGTACTATATTAAATGTACAGAGACTTCTTGACTTGAGAAATTGTATCATCAATAGAATGGCTTATGACTTGCTAACCATTGCCTCCCCCTGTTATGCCATTTTTTGGTGTGTTTGCTGCTTGCTCTTACAGCATTTTGAAATTCTTTCAAGAACGTCTGTGTAGCCTTACCAAGGCAAGAAGTTCCCTGCTGTTTACAATGTTTTATTTGTAACGGCCGATTATTTTTTTCATTTTATGTCTCCTAGCAGTGGGTGTTTGTACTGCTTGCTTATATAGCTATGTATACTAAACTAACGTTGTTCGAGTTTATTTGTTTATCACTGTAGTTTCTGTAAAATCAAATTCATGATTTGTTTAGCAATAGAGTAGCCTCTCCTATGCAAGGAACATGCAAAATTTCTTCTGATTTATATAACACAGAAGATCCTCAAGAACACTCACGTTGTTGGTTTTCAGGATCATTTTCTTTCATAGTTTTTTTGTTCCTTTCGGTGTTGATCTAAGCTTACTATGTTTCGTCAGCTGATTTATTAGAGGTATTGTTGTATGGTATGTACCAGATTTGACATTAATGCTATAAATTGCCATAGGTTTCTTACTATGGTCAATGTAGTTAGTGGGATTTATAGACCTAAGTGCCTAAAGTTACATCAGTTTTTTATAGGGTGAAAGATCTGAATGTTTTTTTTTTTTTTTTTTTTTTTTATTTATTTATTTTTTTTATTCATTTGAAAAGGTGATCTGTAATGTGTTCTAAAAATTAACTATTCTTTGTTTATGATTGTAAAGTGTCCCTGTTGTATTTTTTTATAGTAAATATTTGACTGACAAGGTATCTATCACATCGTCTTAGTTTACATTTTAGAGATTAGATTCCCAATCTGCTTGAATTGGATGCTTTTGTTCATCTACTTGTTTTCAAAATTTGATTAATTTATTTATTTTGATGGTCCTCACTTAGATATGTTGATTGGAGTTTAAATTTAACTCTCCATTTTATCTTGTTTTCAGAAATTTAAGAAGGAAGACATGAAGCTTTCAGGGACCGAGGCATACATGCGAAGATCAGATTCCTTGCAAAGAGTGAGGAACTTTCTTTCTCAAAACCTTTTCATATAATGTGAATAGACCCATTTTTTCATTAGTTACTGGCCGAAATTTCACCCATATTGGAACTTAACATTTTACTTGTTTATTGCTTCTTGATTAGAGAAAAAAGATACTATGGACAAGTTTTATTTTGTCTACGTTACTCCTTATTCTGCAAGTAATAGGTAGTTGTTACTCAAATGGAATTTTAGTTACATTAAACTTGTTTGTTTCTAGTTAATTGGGCAAGTAAGTTTAAATGAACAATGGAACAAGTATCTTTACAGTGAGTGACTGAATTTTTTTTTGTTTTGTGAATGTTGTTCTTTGTTTTTTATATAATAGTATTTTGTCTATATATGCAATAAACCACTAGCTTATAATTTAACGGCACTTTTATGAAAGTTCTTACTGATAGAAACAATTTTTTTTCCTACTAGGCGGAGCAAAAGGCACGCGAAGAAAGTGAAAGGCTGCGACAACAGGAGCGTGAAAAAATTGCTGAAAATAGGAAGCGTGATTTGGTATGTTGAGCTGGAGATGCGTGGGTTTTGCTGCTCTTGTTAATTGTCTAGCCTTTTGTCATATCCCTTATGTTACTCAATGTTTCTTTGGTCAGGTACTCAGGGCTCGTGTAGCTGCCAAGACTGAAGAGAAGAAGATGGAATTGCTATTTCTTCAATGGAGCGAGCACCATAAGAAGCTTACAAATTATTTAAGGTACTTTTTTTGGGTAGTAATTTATGGTACCTTTTAATATAGCTTTAATGAATTGTTCATTGAAATTTCTAATTTTTCTTATCCTTTGATTGTGCTGCAGGTTAATTTTAATTTAGGTCCAAAAAGAGTCCATATTGACAATTTTATTGACCAAAGATAAGTTTCAATTAATGTGCATGCCGTTCAAGCAAGGATGTCTTGATTTTATTCCTGGTGTGGCATGTGAGATTAGGTAATAATTTTGGTCGAAAGTTTCTTTTCTATTGCTGATTAGAAAGTATTTGTGCCCTTTTTTTTTGCTGTTTTCTTGGTGACTCAGGACAAAAGCGGAGCCCCCCATTTATTACATGCCAGCCAAGCCTATTGACGAAAATTCAGCATTAAATGATGAAAAGAAAGAACAGGTGATAGTCTGATATTCATTTTGCAATTGGCATTCCCTTCTAATCCGACTTTGGAGATTTACTTAGAAAATTGGATATCTTATATATCATACATACAAGTGAAAAACTGTAAATTAAATTTTGATGCCATTTTGGTTTATGATTGCATTAGCTGTCATATTCAGAACTTGATACAGTCTACTATTTGTTTCTGTTAAGGTTTAAAAGCTAGGCTTGTGTCACAGCAAAGTAATTTGATCTCCTACCATAGTAATTAGTCTGCTGATTTATGTGAAAACATGTATTTTGCACTTTGCATATTGGGAGCTTTTATTCATTGTTGTTCTTGATGGAATTTCAGGCATTTCTGGAATGGAAGGTTGCCAGGAGAGAGGAGCTTTCTGCATATCAGAAAGAAGTTCATGATCAGTATATTGCAAACGTTGAAAGGGATCTCGAAAGGTGGTTGACTGCTAGAAAATCAAGAAATGCAAACAATGATGCAAACTTGCAGGAAACCATGGACAAAGAGTTGGAAACACATAGGCTGGAACATGGGCCTAAGGCACGGAAAATACCAGATGCCAATAATGAAGATGAAGAGGAGGTTGAAGATATAAACGTTGGCGAGGATGATATGATGGATGATATCCTTGACCTTGATGAGACTGAGAGAGTTGATGAACAGAACAAGCGTGATGAGGACGATGGTAATCCTTCTTTAAGCGTTGTGGAGTAGGGGAATTAGAGGCATAACGTTCTAAACTGATTTTTGTTTGGCTTGTTTGCTCTTAGCTTATTTTTGCAGCCATGATGTCTTTGGATTGTTACCCTTTCTAGTCAATCGAATACTTGATGCTTGTTTGTGGACATTCCATTTAAACCGAACTGGTTCTCTCTCTGAAGGCTAGACTGCTAGAGTTGTGCATTACCTGTACAAGTTATACTAAGGGGTGTTTGGTATAGAAAATTTTGATGTAGGGAGAAAGTAAATAGGACAAGTCTACTTGTATAACTTAAGGAGGAAGTACTAATATAGTGGTGTTATGCATTTGCAAATGCATAACAAATACAAAAATATTAAAAGTTACATGGAAAAGTGAGAAAGGAACTTAGTTTTAAAAAGCACGAGGTGCAAAGCCGCAAATGGCAAAGCACGCCTTTTGGTCAGGTTGGTCACGTGTTAACAGTAAGGACTCGGGAGGAGAAGACTTTTGTTATCAATTAATAAGAAAAAAAAAACTGAAATATTAATAATTTAGAAAAATAAAATCTTTACCTTGTAAGTGGGTAGATGACGCAGAGGAGAAAGTAAGTAGAAAAAGAAAAAGAAAACGAAGCATAGATCGAAGAGAGAGAATAGAAGGGAAAAAAAACGAATAGAAGGAAAAAAAAAAATCAACGTGGGTTGCTACATAGGTGTCGGCCGCTGATATCTGTTGCCGGAAACCATCAGGGAATGATCTTCGGCAAAGTCTACTGTAGTAGAACCCACCAATTTTCCAATTGTAAAGCAACACGTAAATTAGGGTTTTTAAATTTGGGGTCAAATTGAAGTGATTTTGTTCAATTACCAAGGGGCTTTTGCTCGAATTATCACTCTAAAGAATGGGTAAGCTTCAATTTGGAAAACAAATGTTTTTTTGTTTTTGTTTTTTTTTTTTTTTTTTACAAAAATTAATCCAAATCCCCTTTTCTCAAGCCTTTATAAACACAAGGAGGCTCAGGTGTTGCGCGTTACGCTGTGGTCGAGGCGGTTTGAGGAGGCACACACCTTTTGGAATGCGCGACGCCTAGGAAGGTCGAGACGTTTTGGCCTGCGCCTTGCGTCGCTTGGTGCCTCAACAACACCTAGGCGTGCTTTTTTAAAATTAAGGAAAGGAAGAAAGAGAAAGATGTATGGGACCACTTCTACTTTTACCACTGAAAGTTTATATAATACCGTTAGTTATTTAGTGATACTATATATGCACGTAGTTAGTACCACTGAATGCATATATAGTACCACCGAATGCATATATAGTACCATTGAATGCATACCACTGAAATATTCAATGGCACTATTTAATCACCCTATGATACTGTTAAACTGTGACTCGAAATCTAGTAGGGCTGACTTTGAACGCTTATATCTCTCAAATTACAACTGATTTTGAGAGGATTCAAGTTGGAGGTGATAGCTTGTTTCAAGGGCTTTCCAACGATAGGTCTTATGCCCAATTCCGATAAGAAACGAGAAAGTTATGACCGTTTTACGAAAACTTGACGAAGCTTGAAATTTGTAACGAGGCTGCGAGCTATAGCTCGGCCCTATGAGGACTTGCGGCAGGCATGAGCTAGCTGCCGAGCTATAGCTCGGTAGTTAGGTTATTCTAGCATAATTTATAGAATATATCCTAAAATTATATCTTTTCTATCACGGCTATTTGAGTATACTTGGGGAACAATCTTAGGTTTTTATTAGGGTTTCCTTGTGTTATAAAAGGACCCTTTAGTTGATCATTTAGTTCATACCTTTTTTTTTGAGCCATTAGATTTAGGACTCCTTGTATTATTCTCTTGTTTCTTTCTCCATTATAGTGAAGAAACTCTCGAATCCCCCACCCGTGGATGTAGGTCTATTTTGACCGAACCACGTAAATCCTTGTGTTCTTTATTTATCTTCTTTATTGCTTTTCTCAATTATTATTTTTCATTGATTTGTTCCGCATTAATCAAACACAATTACACCCTTATTTCCTAACATGTGGTATCTAGAGCTAAGGTTTTAAGGTCTTAAGGTCTAGGTGTTTATAGATTAGTTTGATTAAACTATGCCAATGAAATTTGACATTGAGAAATTTGATAGGCAATTGAATTTTGGCCTATGGCAATTGAAGATGAAAGTCATCTTGGTTCAAAGCTGTTACAAGGCTCTTGAAGGTGTATCCAAAAAGCTTTCGGGCATGACGGTAGATACGTGGGAGGAGATCGATTTGAAGGCTCTTTCGGCAATTCAATTATGTCTCTCTGATGATGTTTTGAGAGAGGTTTCCAAGGAGACGACTTCTGCGGGTTTGTGGTTGAAGTTGAAGTCACTTTATATGACAAAGAGCGTGACCAACCGTCTACTACTCAAATCTAGACTTCATGATCTTCGTCTAGAAGAAGGTAAACCACTTAAGTCTTATTTAGATGAATTCTTCTCTATTATTATAGATTTGCAAAACATCGATGTTGAGATCGATGATGAGGATATGGCTATTAGGTTGTTGTGTTCTTTACCCCCTACGTATAAGCATTTTCGAGATACTTTATTGAATGGTAGAGATGATTTGAGTTTGGAGGATGTTAAGGATTCCTTAACCTAGAGAGATTTAATTGACAATAAGTTTAAATCTAATAATCCTACTCAAAATAATGCTTTAGTTGCTCATGGTGGTAATAAGAATTTTGGTAAAGGAAAAGTTTGTAACTATTGTCATGTGAAGGGTCATATCGAGTGTTGGAAATTAAAGAAGAAGAATGAGGAGAAGTCCAATGAGGAAAAATCCGCAAATATGGCCAACAATGATGATGATTATGATTATGCACTTTAGGGTTACAAGCTTTGGGGTTGCGGTTTCTACGATCTCTTCATGATAAGTTCCCCTTTGAGATCTCTTGGTAAAACGAGAAACCGTGTGGATTTTTGGTATGGAGTCTATGATAGATTGTTTTTTTATTTTTGTTTCTAATAAAGTAGCAATCTTGGTTATGCATTAGATTTTGTTCTAGTTATGCTATTTCTTATCTCAAATTTGGCACTTTTGTGATTTATTAAGTACAATTGCAATTTAGAAATTCTTGATGTAATTTTTATTTTTCTAGAATTGCTTAAGTCTTTTTTTAGTTTGATTTTTTTTGAGATGAAGAACTGTTTGAAGAGAGTTTGGTGAATTTTGATAAGCATGCTTGGCATCAGGACATTATACTCTCAATCTAGGCCATGTGATGGTTTTTTGTACGGAATTTTGTGTTCGGAGACACACCGGTTCACAAGTTATGGAAGATGTCCGTTTGGTGATAGCCTAATGTGAGTAGGCTTATGGAGTTTTGTTTAAGGTGGAGGTTTTATGTTTTATTGTGAGCATTACTTCTTGGTTTTTGGTTCAAGGTGGAGTTACCTTGTTTTTTGGTCGATTTCAAGTCAAGGTGGAGATTGTTAAACTGTGACTCGAAATCTAGTAGGGCTGACTTTGAACGCTTATATCTCTCAAACTACAACTAATTTTGAGGGGATTCAAGTTGGAGGTGATAGCTTGGTTCAAGGGCTTTCCAGCGATAGGTCATATGCCCAATTATGATAAGAAACGAGAAAGTTATGACCGTTTTACGAAAACCTGACGAAGCTGGAAATTTGCAACGAGGCTGCGAGCTATAGGTCTATGCGAGTGAGCTATAGCTCGACCCTATGAGGACTTGCGGCAGACATGAGCTAGCTTCCGAGCTATTGCTCGGTAGTTAGGTTATTCTAGTATAATTTATGGAATATTTACTAAAATTATATCTTTTGTATGACGGCTATTTGAGTATACATGGGGAACAATCTTAGGTTTTTATCAGGGTTTCCTCATGTTATAAAAGGACCCTTTAGTTGATCATTTAGATCATACCTTTTTTTTAAGCCATTAGATTTAGGACTCCTTGTATTATTCTCTTGTTCTTTGTTTATCTTCTTTATTGCTTTTCTCAATTCTTATTTTTTATTTATTTGTTCCGCATTAATCAAACACAATTGCACCCTTATTTCCTAACAAATACTATTGATCACTTAATGATACTACTCTAAAATAAAAATATACATTACGTGCAATTACACTCTTACCCCTCGTTATGAAATTACGCCCATGCACGCTTGTGCGGGCAGCTACTAGCAAGCCTCGCACATGTGCGGGCTGCTAGCTGCAGCGTGCCAGCAAGCCACGCATGATGTGCGGGTTGCTGGCCGTAGCTTGCTAGAAAGCCTTGCACATGGTGCGGGCTGCTAGCTTGCCTAACCCCTAGCACTCGGGGTTTCGCTGCTAGGGGTATTTTGGTCATTGTTGATTTATTACTGTAGACACCCTAATGTGTCTCCCCGAAACTAAACCCAGTGATGAATACCTTTCATGTCATTTGATTGTTGAACAAAGCGAAAGTGTGAAAAGTCTAGTGATGAGGATGTTTTTATTAAAATATCTCTTCTTTCTGTTTTTGAAAATATTTCTGTTCTTACCTTATTTATGAAAAACGTGCATTCTAGTTTAGTTTGGTCAATGATAAGGGTCCAATAATTCTGTAGTTGGATGGGGCTTGAAAAGACCTTTCCAACAATATATTATAAGCCCAATTCCGATGAATAATGAGGAAGTTATGACCAAAATACAAATCTGGGCCCGATTTGGTTTTTATATACGGCCCGACGATCTAGAGGAGGGCCTATTATTAAGTATCATTCCTAAAGCTATTAGGATTGATTATAGTCTTCTAGAATATTCTATAAGGTTCTCTTAAATCCTAATGAAGTTAGGATTGATAATTATGTTTCAAAGAGTTTGAAATTGAATAAAACTACTCATTTTGAGAATCCTTATCTTGTACGAAGTGAAATATATTCAGATTTTATTTTCGTGCCTCATAATCTTTATCCAAATTTTATATGGTTGGATATATATTGAAATTATCTTTCCAATGATATATTATAATATTAAATCCGAGCTATAACGAAAAAGATATGAATGAGATATGAAACTCTATCCTAAACTGACACCCTTCCACTATTTCGACAATATCTTTTAATCTACTAAAGATTTTAATCCGATTCTAATTGGGTTAGAAAGTAGACTTCAATATATTTCTAACGACATATTATATGCGTTATTTGGACTTCGGGATAAAAAGATATGATAAAAACAAAAAACGCGTGAAACTGAATATTAGCGCCTGACGACAAGCATTAGCGCTTGGCGC